TTTTTTTGAACCCGCCTCCTTTGAAATTGGAATCGCCTCACGTGGGTGTCTTAGTGGCAATACAGGGATTGAGGATTTGAAACTCAAGTGGTGGAGCCTGGGAAGCATGGACCACACTCTGGCCAAGAGTAGAGTGGCTGGCCATTGATGCCGCTGATGTGTTTTGACTGCTGAACTGATTTACGACCAGCGCCTGCCGAGCGGCAATTTGTTTGGACGCAGGCGTTACTTGCTTTGGAGTTGACTTGGTTGGAAAGAGGCTCCTTCCCCGTCTCAGGCCAAGGCCAAAGAGACGAATTAACGCGGCAGTCGGCACATAACTTGCCGAACGCATAAAACATGTTAAGTAATCAATTGGTGGCCCTGCAATAACCACAGAAATAGCAGCTACATGGTAACAGAGGTGTCAGAAGATCTATTTCAAGAATAGCAGATATTAAAAATGTTCAAAATCTCAAATAAAGAAAGTACTATTGTTCCCAGAAAATGAGATCAAAACCTAATATAAATTAAAGAGTTTTTGTTATGATAATATCTTAAAGATCACAACACTAAATACCATTAAATCTATCAAAAATTCTCTAAATAACACGCAACAAATATCTTTATAAAAAGGACAACTTACCAGCACTGCGTACGTAGAATCCAGCCCAGCAACAGCACTGGAACCAAGTGTCCATTGCCAACGATCCAGGGTCCAGCCAACAATTGCCGCATTTTTAAGGGCCTCCAAACACGTGCAACTCGTTGTCGCAGCCCCATCTCCAGGTTCCTCCAGCTCCGTGGCAACTTCAAAGTATCCTGCGGCATAATGCGCTTAATAAACCATGAATCACTGTCCACTGAGGAGGCTGTCAGGGCTTCAGCTGCGTCTGCCAAGGCAGCAGCAGCAGCAGCAGCAGCAGTCCAGCATCCCAGCAGCAACATGGCAGGAGCAACAGCAGACGGCCAACATTGATTTTGTCACGACGCAAACACTTTAAAGGCAATTGCTAAAGTGCGCTGCGTCCTCGTCCTCGTCTGGTTCAAGTAAATGATGTGCGCATGTGATAAAGGGCTTGAGTTCGGGCCAACGCTCCACCAAGTCCGCGGCTCCGATTCCGCTTCAATCCCTTGTTGTTGCTGTTGTCGCCGGGGCTTGAGTGCCATAAAAAACGACTTGCACTTGGACTTGAGCTGGTTCTCCCTCTTGATCCTCTCTTTCTCACTCTCCTGCTGTTTCAACTCCAAGCTGCGAATGCTACAACTCCCACTCCTTCGACGACTCCATGGGGGCTATCAACATTCTCAGGTGCGCCTGCGCGGCCTTTGTTTCGGCCATGGCCATTGGGCATTGGACATTGCCGGCTTTTGTCAGCTCCTTACTCAGCTGGCCCCCGAAAATTGACTGGACTTTAGAGGGATGCACAGGAAGAAAAGAAGGTATTAAGAAGGTATTATAGATCAAAGGAATATAGCAATATATCTATATATATTTACCAATAAAGTGTAAGGAAAATCCTGCCCATAATTTCTTTCTCTGCTTGGGTAACCCTTAGCCCACCATTGAACTAGTTAAGTTGTTAGCTAGGCCTCAGGGATCGGGCTGAGGCTGAGGCTGAGGCTGAGGAGGGAATAGTGGTTTCAGGAGTGTAACCTCATCGGATTTCGCAGTGGCTGCCTCCACCTCTTCCAGCTCGGGATCATTAATCAGTTTGGGTTCATCAGCGGCAACATGGTTCATTAGCTTTGGTTGCTTGCGGTTGATGTTGCTGCTGCTGTTGCTGCTGCTGCTGATGTTGCAGTTGCTGCTGCTGCTGCTGTTGCCCCGTTTGGCGGCTGCTGCTGTCGACGATTCTAATCATAAGGCACAGCACCAGGAACGGGCTCTCTCTCTCTCTCTTTCTGTGACTCTCCTCTGCCGCCGGCCAGGTTAATTGGCTAGAAGTTTTGCATAGGCACAGCCTCCGACGGTTGCTTTGGCGGCTAAATCCGAATCGTCTGCCTGGGCTTATTTGGTGGCAGCTAAAAAGAAACAGAAAAAAAAACAAGTATAGGAAAAACCACAGGTATTATCAGCATCAGAGCCGCAAATCCTCCACACTCCATCCAGTGTGTGTGTGTGTGTATGGATATTTACATGTGGCCAATGATTCCGTTTTCCGTTTTCGGCACAGGGCTCGGATTCAGCCAGAGTTGGCTCAAAGTATATAGCTTCTCTATGGCAGTGATCTTGTCGCAGCCGGTCACGTCCGATAATGTTGACAGTTTCCAGCTGCTCCGCCAGCTACTGGTTGTTGTTCAGTCGTCGTCGAGTTTTATTTGAGTTCCCGAGCGTGGGAATAATCTGGGCAACACGCTGGGTCTCCTCTAGGCCAGGGGCCCACAAAGTTTCCACAAGTAGTGCCTGAAAGGTACTCACACTTGGCCGTCAAAATCACGATGGAAGGAACTCACTTGACATGGCTGACAGACCCATAAAATCTTTTCTGAATACTATACAGTAGTTCTAAGAGGTTTCCCTTATATATTTACTGTAAAATTATGAGTTTTTAAGTATAAAAAACTATGAAAATGTACTAAGAATGTACAACTTTACCCACAAGAACTCATTTACTGCGGTTAACTTTTAATAGCTGACTTCCCAGCCGCCTTGGAGTCGTTGACAAATCACGTTGGCAGCCAACAAGTCTATCAAAACCCGACAACATTTGCATCTGGCCGGGGAGCGGTCTTTTCACAGATTACTCGACTTCATCACCAAGATGGAGCAGACCAGGACAGACCAGAGCAAAGCAGAGCTGAGCTGGGAGCAGGGAGAACAACAAGCATGTTGCAGCTACCGAGTTCCCCGACGACAGGATGCATAAAATTTATGAAACAACGACGCCTTTTGCGCACATAATTAAATCAGACAAAGCGTAGCTCATGTAAATCCCCACTCAGTGCCAGGGTACAGCTCCAAGCCCAACCCACAGAGAGACCAGAGAGACACCAGCCACATGGCCACCGCCACCGGATGCTGGAAGAGCCAGCAATGCAGCTTGACTATTTTAATTACCGGACAAACATCTGCTCCAGCTTCAGCTTCAGCTGCCACGCCAAGTGGGGTGGCCTTCAGTGATGGTAAGGCAAAATATATAAACATCATAATATATATATATATAATCATAAAAATAAATACTACTAAATTGTTACAAATTTAAAAGCTTTTTTATATCATAGCAGGCTATTAAAATTCTAGTCATAAGCTTCAAAACTAGTGAAGGAATAATTTCCGACCCTATAAATCATATATATTTTTGACCAGCATCATCAGCCGAGTCGAACTAGCCATGTCCGGTTGAAAAATAAATTATTAAAATTTTTTCGATTTTTTCAAAAAACGATAAGGGGTTACATCATTAAAATTGCCAAAATTTAGCAAAAATTGAATTATGTAAATTCAAAAAACTGAGTATGCAGATTTGTTGGCGCTATATATAAATTAGCACAGAACAACTTTCCGAATTGAAATTGATGCCTTTTTGGCTTAATTATGATGTTTGAAAAAAACTGATTATTTTAAAAAATGCCTGTTTTTATACCATTTTGCAGGTTATTATAATTTTAGTCAGAATCTTTTAACACAATCAGCAAACACAGTACGCAGGTTTGTTAGCGCTTTATAAACAAACACAGAACAGCTTTCCTAATTGAAATTGATGCATTTTTGTCTGAATTGTGATGTTTAAAAAAACCTGATTATTTTTAAAAAATACCTATTTTTACCTACTTTTAGGGAATTAGTATTAATCAGAAGCTTATAACACAATGTAGGAATCATTTCCGACCCTATAAATCGTATATATTATTGTTCAGAATGAACTGCTGAATCGATCTAGCCATAACTTGTGGGAAAATAAATTTTTTACATTTTTCCAAAATCTCAAAAAACGATAAGGGGTTACATCATTAAAATTGTCAAAATTTGGCAAAAAATTGAATTTTTTATTTTCCAAAACTCAGTATGCGGATTTGATAGCGCTATAAAAATTAGCACAGAAATGCTTTCCAAATTGAAATTGATGAATTTTGGCTTCGTTATAGCTTTTTTTTAAGCTGTGATATGATCAAAAAATTAAAATTTATAAATAAATAATTGTCAAGAAGCTAGTGGCTTTAAAAATTTCAGTTTATAATGAGTAAAGCTGATTATATTCATATTTCCTAGGAAACTGAAACCTAAAATTGTGATTATTCTACACATAACTTAAATTTTTTCCTATAATTTATGCTTCTCTTTTACCTTCTTAATTTGCTAACTAATAAGAAAAAACTTTAAATATATTCCTAGATAGAACTCAACCAGATATTTGCCATCTCTGGCTTCCTGGCAATGGCACTGTAATTGTTATGGTTTGTCATGGGGCCTGAGGATGGGATGGGCACGGATTGGAGCTGGGATTGGGACTGGTGCTGGCACTGGCACTGGGACTGGGAGCAAGCGACTGGGTAGGCATGCGAATCAATTACATATTACAGCCGCTCCGGCGACGTCGCAGCGATTAACTGCAGTGACTTCAGAGTTTAGAGAACTGTGCAACACTAACCTGTTCGAGCGTCGGATTCGATTCGATGCCGCTTTCATTAAAGTGCAAATTATGACTTGCCAGTTCCGCCAGGTGTTGTGCCCGCCTGGCCTATTTGTCTTGAGTGGCCCGGCTTTGCCCAGATCTCCGCCGCCGCCGCCCCGCCTGATCTCTTTGTGCATCTGGGAGCTGGGAAAGAGCCACCGCTAAGATGTAGGGGCTCTGCCCTTTAACGTATGAAGTTATCAACGCCATCGTCGCCGCAGCAGCAGCAGCAGCAGCAATAGCCCCACATTATTTACAGCTTTTACAACATTAATTGCTACCTGTGCGCGCATCTGGAGTTGTAAATGACTCTGGTGGCCCCTTTTGCTGCTCCTGGAAGGCGATGGTATTGTTCAAAAATAGACATCAATTATTTTTAATTTAATACATATTTTTATTCGAGATTTTTGCAAAAATATATGACTTTACTTGAAATGCATATTCTTCAAATTATCAATTAGCTGTTCTTCTGGCCAGATGGCAGATATTTGCTTTTAATCATGTTGTTTACAGGTTTCATTTAACCAAATACTTGTTTTTAAGTATACACTTTTGGAATTACTCGTTTTTTTTTCAATTAAATTGTTTCAGTTAAAAATAAACTTTACATTCTTTAATACTGAATGAAATCAGTTAACTTGTAGCCTCTTAGTTGTTTTCAGTCTGAGAAATAATAGTAATTATAATAAATTCATGCAAAGGGCAAGGCACTTTCTTTGGATTTTCCAATTCTTTGAAATCTTCATCATAAATGATCAATTAAATTGATCAAATTAAAAAGGTTCAGTATGAATATCAGATCAGATATCCTACCAATCAGCAATGTATCACATATCCATTCAAATTACCTTTAGAACACATTGCACTTGGCGCAGCGAATGGTCTCGGTCAAGTGCATGTGGTAACCATGCAGCTCCATCATCATGTCCTGGATACACATCTCGATGTGATTGTAAGCCAAGTGCCAATGACAGGAGCTACCGCGTTTGGCGTTGATGAGGCTGCAAATAGGGAATGGCAAATTTCGTTGACAATAATTCTATTGAAAATCTTTTTATAAATAAATAATTACCGGCACAAGTGTCTCATCACATCGTACATCAGGTTCAATTTGTCAGCCTTTAACAGATGGCACATCTGCGTGTAAATAATATTCACGTCCGCCGGCAGAGGCACATCCACGTTGCTGACCCAGCCGTTAAGCACATTCTTGAAATCCCCCTCCAGAATGGTGGACCCCACCTCCTTTTTGGACGGAATGGCAGGATGGTAGTCGCCCAGCTTCAGCTTCTTCCGCGTGGGCACCTCTTCCGGGGACCTGTTGATGTACTGCAAAAGGGCAGGATGCGTATGGTTGGGAAGCTCATTGATGTAATCCTCCACAATCTGGTCCGAGCGACAGTTCTCGTTCTTTGCGCGGGCAGCTGCTTTTTTTGCCAAGCGAGCCTGGCCTGCCCTGGAAGTCGAGGGCTGAAGATCGCTGGCATTTAAGGGACTAGTGCTCGTTAATGGCCTTTTTGCAATACAAGGTGGCGGCGGTCGCGTCTCATTATCCGATGGAACAACGAATTTATTTTCCTTCTCCATGAGTAGATGTTCATGCGCATTGTTGAGCAGCTCACGGCGTAAATCATCCGGCAATTCTGCCAAAAAATCCGGATCGATTCCTCCTGGTCCTACTTCAGCGTTCGGTGTTGGTTGCCCACCATTAGAGCCAGTGTTCTCTTCTTGGACCGCAATCAATGGTTTCTGAGCCTCTGCTGCAGTCTTCAACATTTCTAGCACAATCCTTGGTTGCTTAATCTTGACCTCGGGCATTGTTATTTCAGGCGCTGGCTTTTTCTTTGGAGGCTCAATTGGGTCCCTTGTTCGCTTCTCGGTGATCTTCATAAACATTTCCTTGAGGACGTTCTCCTTCTTCACCTCGGCGACATCCTCGAGCTTGGTCAGATGTATGCCAAGGCCGCGCAGCTCGTGGACCGGCAGATCGGCTTCCTTCATCAGGTTGAGGACCATAGTGGTAATCACATTAATATCATCGGTGGCATGCTTGAGGTTCGACGACTTGTTAATGATATCGCACACGCCATGGCCCATGTACTTGGAGGTCTCTACAGGCGCTTCGGCAGCACGGACCATAATCTTCAGATTAATGGACTTGGTCTTCCGCTTCACCTCGATCAGACGCTTGGTGACTTCGTCGCTGAGCTGCCGAAGGAATTGCTCGCACTCGATGACCTTGCTGAAGCGTATGCCAAAGTTCATCTCGGCGGAAACGGTTTTGCGAGCCTGAAAACGAAACAAAACTATTAAAACCCATTGTGCCAAAGGGAGAGTTATTCTTGCGTAATCAACCTGCTCATAAACCAAGGGACGTGGATCGATGCCCCGGCAATTGTTGTGTAAATTCAGTGCCACCTTCCTGCCCAGCAGCATCCCCAGCTTCACCAGCGACGTTTGCTGCACATCGCCACAGTTGGTCATGCCAGCCTGCTTGAGTTTGTGGCTCATACTGCTGCCCACCCCAGGCAGGGATTCCAATGCCATGGGGGCCATGTAGGTCATGAAATCCTGGTTAGATGACAGCAAGTGCTGACCATTCGGCTTGGCCTTTTTGGTGGCCAGGCGGGCCAGTAGCCTAAGAGGGAATCATTGTTAGTATAAAAGCTTTTAAATGCAAGTTTCTACTCACTTATTTGGTCCCACTCCGGCCGAACAGGGACATCCCGTCTTGGTGCGAACCTCCTGTCTGAGGTGCTCCACGAAAGCTATGACGTCCACTTTTAGTTCGCTTACCATATCGGTCAGCTCGACGAACATCTCGTCGCAGCTCACAGCCTCAATGTTCAAGGTGTACTGGGCCACCGTATCGTACAGCGTGTAGGCCACCTCCCTGTAGCCGTCAAAGTCGTAGGGAATCGTCTTTAGCTCCGGACAGAGCTTCAGAGCTTGTCCTACAAACATACCGTTGCGGATGCCCTTGTCCCGGGCCTCGTAGCTGCACGAGGCTAATTCCGAAAGCGACATCTTCTTGTCGAACCCCGAACGCACCTTGTCCACCTTGGTGTCGTCGTGCATGCGATGCTCGAAGCGCTGCGCAAAGAGTTCCTGCTCCAGTTGTCTGTCCGCCTGCGGATGCACGGGCACATCGGTGGCTCCACTGCCGCCTTTGGAGTGGGTCACCGCCACCGGCAGGCCACGGAGTTCCGGACGGGACCTCAGGCCCACGGAAACGAAAAAGCAGTCCATATCGATGTGCATTACATAGCGGAATTCACAGCTATCGGTGGATTTCTTTAGATATTTCAGTTCCGCCCGCATGGGAAAGCCTTTGTTGGCATTGGCCTGTCGTAGCTCGCAGACATACTGCTTGAAGCCAGCTCCCAGAGTGGCGATGTGGTGCAGTCGGGAGTTCTTGTAGAATTCAGATAGAAAACGCGGATCGGAGGCGGTGCGCGCGTGATTCGAGTTCGACGACGTGCTGGACAGATTGTTGATAGACTGATTGGTCTCGGACAAACTGCTGATCTCGGCTTTTTTCTCCGGCGAGGTAAACACAGCCTGCTGCAGCTCCTCGAGAACGTCGAATAGATCAACTTCCATATCTTCCTTCGGAGGCTTTGCCTCCTTTTTGGTCTCATTTACACTGCGATTTTTTACATTTGCAAAGTTAATCCCCGGCTGTGAGGTTTTCTGGTTAGTGAACAGCAAATAGGGCTTGTAGTCCACAATCTTATTCTGCGCCAGACAGTCCACCACCCACTTGGCACTAATGAACTTACTGAGATTCATGTTCCGCACCTTGACGTCCGGCAGAGTGGAGGCGATTGTGTAGGTTGTGTGCGACCGCTCGTAGTGGTGATAGGTTCCACCGTGCACCATCATTATGCGCTTCAGCTCATCCGCCGACGGGTCAGTGCGGCCATTCACAAATATCGAGATTCCCTGAAACAAGTCTGACTTGCGAAATGGATCGCTGGCGGCGGCGAACTGCTCCTCCAATTTGGACTTTTTGGCCTCGAAGTAGCCGCCCTAGGGGAAATGTTTTTGGTTACTTGAAATGAGCGTCACACACTTAGTTAATAAACCTACCCATTCTCCAAAACCATTGTCTTCGTCGCGTGTCATTTATTTTATTCTAAATCATAAGAAATTACTTGCAAAATCTTAGTTGTCAGTGATGAGAAAGGAGAAAATAATCGATAGAAAGCTATCGGTATCAGCTGTTTCCCGGCTGATTCAGTATTGCAAAACTACCGAAAATCTGTAAGAGTGTAAGATGGTTTTTTAGACGTGTATGATGTAAAATGTCAAAGAAAAGGAATTCAGAGTGACCAAATACCAAAAAATGATATCGATATATTGGTATTTTGATATATTTTCAACGACCAAAAAACTACCGACAGCCGACGAAAGACAATTCTGTTAATTATCATCCATCCGACAGCCGAAGAGAGAGAATTCTGTTAATTAACATCTATCCGACAGCCAACGAGAGAATTCTGTTAATGAGAGCAGGTCTGTTAATGAATTTTATTTCCTTCGTGGGAATTCTTCCTACATGACATTCTACTTCCTACATGAAGATTCTACCGCAAAACTGAGAATTCTACCCCATGTATCTGTAAACGTTTAAAATGGTTATTTAGACGTGTAACGTGTAAAATATTGTCTGTGTTGAGAAAGGAGAAAACTTTCGATACCGAACTATCGACTATCAGCTGACTCAGTGTTTCAAAACACCGCCAGTCAAATTCGCAAGTTTTGTTTGCTTTCTGAAAGAAATGTGGAAATACGGACAAAACCAAGGAAACCCGGGACCGGCTGGCGCTGGAGGAGCCGGCGGTGGCCCCAACATGATGCCCATGGGCGGCTTTGGCATGCAGCACGGGAACATGCAGCAGATGCACATGTCGCCGCAGCACCAGCAGCAACAGCAACAAATGGGCATGATGGGCGGCGTTCCAGGCGGCATGCAGATGAATCCCCAGGGCGGAGGCCCCGGCGGCCTGATGCCGGGCATGTCGCCGCAGCACCAGATGCAGCAGCAGCAGCAGATGATGCAGCAGCAGATGATGGGACCGCAGCAGGGAGTCGGCGTGGGAGTCGTGGGAATGGGCGGCGGCGTAGGCATGGGAGGCGGCATAGCCCCTCAGCAGCAACAGCAGCCGCAGAACCTTCCGCAGCAGAATATTCCCCAGCAGCAGCAACAACAACAACAGCAGCAACTCAACCCAGGACCGGGCATTGCATCCGGCGGCTCCGGGGGAAACAACAATATGCTGGCCATCTCCCAGCAGAACCCGCACAAGGAGATAAACATTGTTCAGCTGTCGCGCCTCGGTCAGGAGACCGTCCAGGACATTGCCTCGCGCTTCCAGGAGGTCTTCTCCGCCCTGAAGAACATCCAGCCTACGTCGCACCGGGATAATAACTCGGAGAAAAAGGTTCAGGAGTACTTCCGCACCATCCGGCTGCTTTTCAAGCGAGTCCGCATCATCTACGAGAAGTGCAACGACGCCGGCATGGATTATATGAGCGCGGAGAGCCTGATTCCCTACCGGGACGAGCCGGAACCAAGGATCGAGCCCTCGCAGTGCGATGAGTACCGGAAGGTGCTGCAGGAAAACCACGAGCTTATAGAGACGGTTAAGCTTAAGAACCGGCAGCTGCGCGAGATCATCGACAGGACCCGTATCATCATCTGGGAGATTAACACCATGCTGGCCATGCGCAGGTCGTAGGTTCCATAGACACTAGAAATGTATTATAATTTGAATAAAAACATTGCCAACAAAAGTATTAATTTTTTGTTTCATTTTAAATCCAACGACCCCTCTTTTCGGTAAGCCCCTGCCTTTGCTACAGATGATTCTTAAATACTGGTGTTTTACAATACTTTTACGCTTGATGCAAAAACATCGATAGTTTGTATAAATATAGGGAATAGTTTTAAATTACTTTTAATATTATAAAAATGTCCAACAGCGTCTACAAAATGTATATACGTAAAAAGATTAATTTAATGACCACCTGACGTACAAATATTATGTTCTTTTGAACTTCTCTAAATTAATTATTAAAATCGAAATTCCCCACTTTTTTATTCAAGTTTTCAACCCTATTTATAATCGAAGTTAAAAACCTGGTGAGAAGAAGAAGCAGACGCGAAGTTTTTTACTAAAAACAATATCCACGAAACGCACTTTATTTAACAAATCCAAGTAAATTAAAACACCTGCAGACATGGCGAAGATGGCTTTTCAGCACCAGGCCGGCACGGCGATGGAATGCTTGAGCGTAAGTTATGAACGAAGAAATTGAGTTCCACTTTACACGCACACAACAGACTCCAGCACGACCTTTGTGTGTATTGGTGGAATTGGGTCGCTGGAGCAAAAAAAAAAACAAACTTTCTTTCTTAAACAAGAGATTTTCCTTGTTTTTATAGATTCCCATCACGCTGCACAAGGAGAAGGACTACGATCAGGAGGGGCGGGAGATCCTCAAGTGCGGCTTTAAAATTGGCGGTGGAATCGATCAGGACTATAAAAAGAGTCCACAGGGTTACACGGATTATGTGAGAAAAGATGCTAGAAATTACACACTGAGAAAAAAACCATTCAGGAAGGGATTTGTTAACTGTATGTGAGGAATTCCCAACCTACATACATAGTTTATATATCTTCCTCAATTTAAATCGGTGTTCCACTTTTGGAATTCCGCTCTAGAATGGTTTTTTATCTCAGATATTTACGTATATTCTAATATAAAAATATCTGCATTTCCATTACTAAACCAGGGCATCTATGTGACCGAGGTGCACGAGGGCAGTCCTGCCGCACGTGCTGGCCTTCGGATCCATGATAAGATCCTCCAGTGCAATGGCTACGACTTCACCATGGTCACACATAAAAGGCCGTGAGCTACATACGGAAAAACCCGATACTCAATATGCTAGTGGCCCGCAAGGGCGTTACCTCGACATAAGTGGATTCCCTTGGAGCGGGTCTCCAGCACTACTCTAGCAGTATTTGCAGCGGCATCTAAACTAATCCACTTCAGCGCCTCTCTTGGCAAAGGATCTCCTCCTCGCCCCACTTGCAACCTATCCACATACTTAGATATACCATATATAGCATATATATATATATTCATAACTTATGCACATCGCGCACAGAAACATACATGTAGTAATGCTTCTTGTTGAATTCGATTTGTTTGCCTCATCATCAGTTGTTGAACGAAAATCGCCAAGCTCCACCTCCAGTGCAGAGAGAACAGATTGCCAAATACCGAATATAAACAATTTTGTACTTTTATATATATAAACCATGTGCAGAGACCATTCCAAAAACCAAACAAAGCAAATGACGAACGCAAAGTTGTTAAGACAAACAAATACAATACATACATTCATAGTACATACTTGTGATAAATGCCGCTTACTGTGCAGATACATTGAATGGATGCGTTGAAAAGCGCATCAGCTAAGTTTTACAATTGAGTTTTTTAATGTTAAATTGCGTGTTTTGAATAAATGTTTGCGAAATAGGTGTCTTAATTGAAAATGTCTAGTTTTATGAATCATTTAAAATTGTATTCGCATTTTGGTCATACGCTTTTGTAAAAGAAATAACTGAGCTCATAAAATACTCGTTAAGTAAAAGTACTGAAGAATATGTGTTTGATTAAATAAATTGAATAAACTAATACCATGTTAAGTACATTTAAAAAAGTTGTTTGTTACAAAAGATTAATTTGATTCTATTCCAGAATCTATGAAGTAATAATGCACTCAGTTTAGATTAGTTAGTTTTTTACTCAGCTGATATAGTTGCTGATACCATTTGAAATCACCCTAGTTATGACGCCTTAAGCCACCTTGACTTTGACCTTATTTACGCGATTGCGTTTACTTATGATGCTAGCAGCCGGCGGCTAGAGTAAATTAGCAACAAACACTTGACGACAGCGGAAAGCTTTTTTTAATTACAAAGTACTTTGGATTTACATACACACACTAACACACATCGAAAATATATTTTGGTTACTAAATGGAATTCGGAAAGAAGAAATATACACACAACAGACGACGCTGGGAGGAACTTGCAGGGAACAGGAACGGAGGCAAGGTCAAAAGGAGCTACACGAAACGAGCTACTTGTTGGCATATCCATTGGGATTTTGGCTCTGCCAGCGCCACGTATCCTCGCACATCTTATCAATGCCTCGGACGGCCTTCCAGCCTAGCTTCTCCTCGGCCAGCTTGGCGTCCGCAAAGCAGGTCGCCACATCACCGGAACGACGATCCACTAACGCATAGGTTACCTTCTTGCCGGAGGCCTTCTCGAAGGCCGTCACCATGTCCAGCACAGAATATCCCACTCCAGTGCCCAGGTTATACGCAAAGAAGCCTGTCTCGGCGATGTTGCGCAGCTTGTCCAGCGCTTTAAGATGGCCCTCGGCCAGGTCCACGATGTGAATGTAGTCGCGCACTCCAGTGCCGTCCTTGGTGGGAAAGTCACTGCCGTAGACGCTAAGGCTGGCACGTCGGCCCACAGCCACCTGGGCAATGTAGGGCATCAGGTTGTTGGGCTCGCCATTGGGGTCCTCGCCAATCCGACCGCTGATGTGGGCGCCCACCGGATTGAAGTAGCGCAGGGAGACCACAGCCCAGCGCTATTATAATTAATTCAATTAATTATTTGCAGAATTATGGTAATCCTTCACTCACCTTGTCAGACTTGCACAGATCCTTGAGAATCTCTTCCGTAAAGTATTTGGTCTTGCCGTAAGGCGATGTGCAATTGCCCGTGGGATGCTCCTCTGTAACGGGCAGGAATTTGGGCTCACCGTACACGGTGGCACTGGAGCTGTACACAAACTTAAAGACATTGTTATCTGCCATAGCCTCCAGCAGGACATTCGTGCCGGTCATGTTGTTGTGGTAGTATTGCAAGGGAATGCGACAGGACTCGCCGACGGCCTTCAAGGCGGCAAAATGGGCCACCATGTCTATTTTGTGCTGTAAAGGAGATAAAGGAATGTTTATATTACATTATTTACTTGATTTTAAATACGAGAAATAGATAATTGGTATATTAAAAAGGTAAGTATAGCTATAATATTTGTTTTCCTATTTATTTTTCTGCTGCTTCAATATGTCATAAATGAATTCACGATAATAGCTTCCGGGTATGATTTAGCAAAGGTTATATACTGCTTTAAAAAATAGTTAAAAATAGAAAAGCTATAGACCGATTAGAAAAAATTCCAGTATGACGTGACTTAGGCTAAGTTTCTAGAGTAATCAGTTCGCGGAAACACGGTTATCTGTGATTTAATTTTGATTAATAAACAAATTTTATATAATTCCATAATTAGCACTTCATGTGGTTAATATTTAAAGTTTTAATAAACCACTATATAAAACGCATTGCAAAGTTTAAAAAAATTTAAGTTTTCAATAATAAACTCTGAAGCCGTCAGCACTTTAAAATCATATTCATATTTCATGGCTGATTTGGCAATAAAATAGCTTTGTTATTGCATTCAACCAGTAGATATTAATGTTTAGCATATGGAAAATTGAGGTTTATAGGGAAAACTCCCCTGCCAAAAGCTTATTGCAAATTCTTTATGGCATTAAAGTGCACGGAAAGCTAATAAGACCATGTAAACACTGTTATCCATGTCTAGTTGAAGTTCTTTGGCCTTCCCTGCTCTTCGAGTGCAGCGTACGTGCCCGGTCAGCAATTGTGGATGTGGATGTGGATGCCAGCACACCAACTCGATTCTGATTCCGACCTCGCCAAGTGGGGGCTACGCGCCGCCAGGGTCGCTCGCTTGTTTCGTCGGAAGTGCCCACCCTACCACTTGAGCAAACACAAAACGAGAAAAAGCTGATAGCAGCACGCAGTCAGATAAGGCCTGATGATGATTGAATTGTATATCCAGTTGGCTAGCTGGCACTTTACGCACAATCACCAAATTGCTGACGTTGCCTTAATAGGTATCTATTGCTCACCTCCTGGAAGACGGAGCGCACTTGATCCCGGTCCGTGATGTCCACGCGATAGAAGTTAACCTTCTTGCCGGTGATCTCCTGCACCCGATTGAGCGCCTCCGGTAGCTTAGCGCCGCTGCTGTACGCATTGCACAAGTTATCCACACAGATGACGTTGTAGCCTGCGTTGAGCATCTCCAGTACGGTGTGGGAACCAATGTAGCCGGCTCCGCCGGTGACCAAGACGGTGGGTGGGGCCATGTCTGTGCTGAGAGAAAGGGAAAATTAGGCCAATCGAGCGAAATTCTCATTGACGTCACCAAAAAATCGTTCGCTCGTTCTATCCGCAGCCGCCCCGTGTGCGAAATACCTGTCTCGGCGGCTAACGGGGCTTTGCCAACGTGTGTGCGCTGGCTGGATGGCTGGCAAACTCACCTGTTTTACAGGTGATTATCCCAGTTGTAGGTGATTCAGCTTACGGAATGGAGCGCAACGAATAACACACGCAGACTGCTGGCTGCTGCTGCCGCCCTTGAAACTCGGATTCCGATGCCCAAAACAAAAGACGCGTCTTGCAGAGATGAAATGCTGACTTGCTGACTGGCTTCTGCCTCCGCTTTTGGCCCAAAGATCGCTGACCGCCCGAGAGTGGTGTTAACGCTTCTTCTCAACCCGTTTCTTGCACTCGTCCCGCCGCCGCGTTCGGTTCATTCATTTGTTATGTTCTCCGCTGCTTCGCTTCCTACCTCGTTTTGCCGATTTTCGTACGTCTGTTTTGGTGCGCGCTCGCTTCGCCAATGAGCGTCTGCTCTTCGGTTTTAGGCTTATTTAACTTGTTCTCCGCGACTTGTTCCCCTTATCAGCTTTCGGCCTTATCAATGTCATTTGGGCGTACACGTACTTAGCTTCAAGCTGCCTTTGCTTGGGGTGCGTGCGGGGGTAGCGATTTGTGCATCCTTATCGCTTGGGACCTTTGGAAGTCTATTTGTTGCTTATTTACGAAACATTCCGACAGATAATGTCTTTCCGACGAGCACTGATGAGAAATTTCAATAAGTAAACAAAGTTGTGGAGCTGCCACACCGCGCGGTCGGGCCAGGGCTGCCGTATCACCTGAACTACAATCGGCATTCGATTAGCGTGTGGCATATTTTGAAGGCGCATCATAAAACCACACCAAACTGTTTAGGGCATAAAACTGGATTATATTAGCGATGTCCTACGGTTCAACAATGTTTATAATAACTAACCCTTCTTTATTCTTCTGTGACTGCGTTGAAGTTATTCAATCTATCGTATACATTTATCGATACCTCGTGCCAATCGGCTTGGCGAAAATACCGCCTCTAGTATTTATTGATAAGGCTGCCCGCGCAAAATTGGGAATGCTACCACACTACCGGAAAATACTAAGTAGCAGCTGCGCGCCAAGTGTGGCGAATTGTGAATTTCAAATTTAAATGTAAAATGCATGTAAAATACATGTGAGCTATTGTAAATTACACGGCCAACGGATTGATGTTTTTTAAATACTTTATTATTTACTTCAAATCAATTAGGAAACTATATTCTTGATGACAAAGTTTTTGAGATAAGATTTACGATCTCCAGCTTAATAGGTCATCTTTTTGGGGCCGGCAGTTTATTTATGTCGCTTTTATGTATTTTTGAGAAATCTCCGGCAGGCATGCGTGTGTGACCCAAATTCCTTTCAAATCTGTGGTGATAAGCGGAAGTGCATGTACTAAATACCCGCCGACATGGCTATAGTGTATGTATGCGAGAGATTGGAGAAGAGGAGGGCAAAAGAGACCTAGGCACAACGACTGCGACGTAATTATAGCCTTTATGTTTCATTTACAACTTAATTATGAATGTATTTGCGCAGCAACGGCGAAGCGACGACACTCTCAATGAAATGCGCCCGGTTCTCCGGTCTCAGTACTCGGTTCTGAATGAATGAATGGCGGTTTGAATGAATGTTGGGCAATTGGAATGCATGAATGAATGCGGCGCCGCCAGAGCTTTGGAGCTTTAACCCAGATTTGTCTAATCGATTTATTTACCAGGCACTTTAATATAACTAGTTTTTTTTTCGTTGGTGTAATGGTAGATCGTACAAATATAGTCCATATATTTCATTATATTCTTTTAACTACTAAAATAAATAGAGAATATTTTAAATAATTTTAGATGGGCTTACTTTAACGTTTATTTATTTCAAATGAATTAAACACTTTTTTTATATAGGCATAGAATCTATAAATTTTTAAGACACATTAGCTTAACAACTTGTTGCCTACTTTTTGGCACACATTTTAATTAATTTCAAATCAAAAATACGAATTAATTATTTAAATAGCTATTTCTACCTTAAATAAATAAATAAAGCAATAAAAAAGTTCTGACTGGAAGCACTAAGATACCAAAAAACCGATGGATTACATAGGCAGCCCCCCTTTAAAGTCCCCATATATAACATGAATACCTCCTACTGGTCGCCAAATCGGATCCGAGACATATGTTTGTACATATATTCTCCGATTCTCGGGCCAGAGCACGGCACACAGCACACATAATGCCCCACACATACTGACAATTGAGGATCCGGCCGCGCCACAGACGAAATCAAAATACATACATAACCGGAAATGAGTTAGTTGAACTTCCGTCATCGCTCGCCTCTGGATGGCGCTGGCCTGCAATATTTTTTGTATTTTTTTTATGTGAGTGACAATAATTTGCACAGTCACAAAAACAGAAACAGAAACCGAAAGACAGACCCGGACGGTGAAGACTCGCAACGTCTGCTCTGGAATCGTGTCGTGCCAGTTATGTACACTATATAATATGGTCTGGTAAAATATATGTATATATAATATATATACTCCCGATCCGGCCTGTGTACATATAACATTATGTTATGAAGCGAACCGAACGTTATGGCATCGGCATTATCAGTTTAGCGCGAGAATCGACATCGCCGGAGGAGGAACGGAACGGTGCTGGGGTTAAGGTTTTCGAGGGGGGGCTCTGGGGGCCTGTAAACTACATATATTTCTATATAATTTCATGGATTTGGCTTTGGAACAGTTCTCAGCTCGAAATCCGGATGGAAAAAGATGAGAATTGTGGGTTTTGGAAAGGTTTTTCAAAGTAATTTTTTTAAAAAACGTCCTTTATATTACAAAACATATTGATAAGCTAAATCTATACGATTTAGTCCACTTTATTTTAAGAAATAGTTAAAAATTAAAGGAGATATAACTAAGATTTTAATACTTTAATTACAAGCTGAAGCAAAAGTTATTTTCTCTTAAAAAAATAACGGTGGTCTGGGCCATTAAACTTATGATAAATCTACTATTAAGATTGATTTCTATATTTAAATATTTTCTTTTATGCCAAGTACTTTGTTTTATTCAGGCTTAGCTGTGTTATTTAGTTAATTTTCTTATTCAGTATTAACTGTATTTTTAAGTTTCTTATTTCCCTCTCAATTTTCTACACCAATCTCCAATTTTCCCATATCAAATAGTGTTGTTGAATTGCACACACCCTTGGAACGAATAGATTTCACTTCGTTAGATTTAATGTAAATTTCGGTTATCCATCTTAATAAAAACCAATTTTCCGCATTATTGTTTTCGCCCGATAATCATCACACACACAGCACACACATCACACACTCATCTCTTACTTCTATGTTCTGTGTGAGAAAAGCCCACACCAATTGGACCCGGGTGGTACTGCTGTTTGCTGCTTCAATTTGATTTCGGGGCAAGCCGGGGTGAGTGTGGAAAAATAGTGAAAGTGCTGCACTTTTCACATGGCCCTGATCCGACTCCGCACCGCCGCCGCCTGGGCCACCATAAATGTTTATCACAAATTAACCAATTTACATTTGGTGGCGTTTTCGCCTGGCCTGGCAGAACCCGCATGGCCCGATCGCCTCCGGTTCGTTTGGTACTGAAAGTTTTTCAATTCCTAAATTGAAGATATGGAAAATGAAATTCATAACGCACATGAGAACGTACATATATAATTAGCCAATTATCTATAACTTTTCTATGCTCGATCCGAAGACGCTTACATAAATTCCACACACTCGAATGCTTTTTAAAGTACTTCGGTTTTGGGGACAGAGCACTTAAAGAATTTGTTTAAAAATTAAGTTTTCAAAAAGCAGTGTATTATAATTTTAGTCAGAAGTTACAAAAAAGGTGAAGGAATCATTTCCGACCCTATAAACTATATATTTGCTTGATCAGCATCAAAAGGCGAATAGAACTAGCTATGACATTAAATAACAATTTTGTTTTTTATAAAAAATAAACATGAAATATATATAAAAATGATCCCAATTTTTTTGAAGTGTCTAAATTTACAGTAAGATTTTTTTGAGCTTGACTTTTGAGTGCGATTCCCGTTTGCTCGTTTGATTAAGTGGAGTACATGACGCTTTACCAGGCGGATGGCGCTTCCAGCAAAAGTTTCTCACAAACAGGAGACACCAACAACAAAAACACCAACAACAACAACAACTTCACCAACAACAACAACAAGGCGGTTGGCCCAAAGTTATACGCAAGTTCTCAACTTTCCAGTTGGCAGTGATCTCATTTCGTTTATTATTATATTTATACATAAACATATATTTATATACATATATTTATATGGCAAAATTACCACAAAAGCTGTTAGGAGAGAGGGGGGGTTTTTTGGGTTATTTCGGATGAGTATTATGGAGTATTTTTTTTTTTTGGGTGGGGTGGGTTTCTTAGGGAATCTCTCTTTTTGGCCTAGCAACAGGCAACCGCCAAACGATGAACACGTGTGCCGAAGATAAAGTATAAAATATATAACTACAACGAGTTGGAGTTGGAGTTGGACAGGAGAGAGGAGGAGAGTAGTAGTAGGTCAGAGGAAGGGTAGAGGCACCAAGAAGCAACCACCCTGAACGGAATCGGGTATAGGGATAGGGATCGGGATCGGGATCTAGTTCTTCTGCGCCAGAAGGCACAGAGACAAGGCACCCCTCCATTTTCACACACATTTTACGAGCTATTGATGGCGGTGGCAATGGGCTTATGAATATGAATAGCAGCAGATCGCCCTACTTCCTTATCCGTATAAAAAACAACCTACCTGAATTGCTTACCTGGTCTCCCTTACGCTTACCTCTTAATGGCAACTTAATAAGACTTCTTCGGAGGTTCGGAGCGGGGTTAATGCGACAAAAGCGCATTCATACCATAGAAAATTTAATTAGTTGTCTGTGTTGGCTGGCCCTGCCCAAGGGGCATGTTTATTGTTGCGAAAATAGGAAGAATATACGCGTATATTTCGCAGGAGGGTTAGGACACAAAGGATCAGATACATCTGCATGAAAGGGAGACATACATGATCGAACACGATGCGACAAGAAAACTTCAAGTAGCCTGTGTTGCTGTTGTTGGTTATCTGCAATTTATGCTCGGTGTCCATTGTTTTCCCTTCTAACTTACAGGATTTTCACAGGGTGGTATCCTTTTTTCACAGGGGAAAAGCATTCAGTCATTAACAAGGTAACCTTTCTTTCTAGGACCCTTTTTTAATTGCTCTTATTCAGGTTATAGTTTCGTAATTATTGTACTTAGGCTTGAGTTTATTTCAATTTTATTAAAGGGAAATAGTAATAATATAATAAAAGAAGCATTCATGATTTTAATAAAGGGAAAACAGATTTACATGGATCTAAAAATTAATATAGAAGTTATATTTTAATTTGTAGATTCATCCCACCTCTGTAATGAGAAATATTCCATTTCAGAATCCCTTAAAATATTGTTATTCACTATTATTTATATTCAAACCTGAAGGCTTTCTTGATATTATATGTAACCAAACCCT